GAGATCACTATTCTATAAAGGCAAGAACTCACTCCACCAGGCACTCTGGCCAAAGGAGAAATTTGCAATTATATGAATTCCAAATTTAAGTCAGTGTTGACATCTTTGATTGCCTGGAGAAGTCAGGCAAGATTTTGGAAGTGGCTTACAACTGCCTCATTCACTGAGAGAGTGACCCAAGGTCATACAATTGGCTTTGTGATTAGAACTCAGAGCCTCCCTGTTTTTAACCTGATATCTTAAGCATTACAACAAACTGGCTACCTTTGTGAGTGCCATTAGGAATGTAAAAATTGAGAGGAGAATTTAACCTTTTTCCTTGTGTGATCTCAGCAATGGAATTTCCCGATGTATAGGGAAATAGGATTTCTTCCAGGGCAATATGTATATATTTGCAGGGAAAATGTCCATCACTCTATTCTGTATGAGAAATGCTGCTTGGACTTCTAGTTGTATTTTTTTTTTAAAAGTATTAATATTATAAAAAAGTTGTTTTGAGTTCATCTCTCTGTCATACCTTCATTAAGAGAGCTGGAAATGTGGAAATAAGATAGATAAGAGTATATGTGTATATGTTAACTGCAGTAGCAGGACAAATGGTACAATCTTCCGTTGATTGTAAAATCTCTAAAGTCTCTCAGATTGTCCTGGGGTATTACAATTTAGTAGAGAGGCTATTAAATGTTTTAAGTATTATTTTTGATATATTTATTTGTTCTCTAAGTGCTGTAACTCAACCGAATCGTCAACACAGGAGAAAAAAACAAGACTGATTAATGTTCCTTCTTTAATTAATTAATTTTTATAAAATTAATTTTAATACAATTAAATTAATTAATTAGATAATCAATGTTTTAGAAACAGTGTTTCTCAGCATTGGCAAATTTAAGATGTATGGATGTCAACTCCCAGAAGTTTCAGCTGACTGAGGAATTCTGAGAATTAATGTCCATACATCTTAAAAGTTGCCAGTGCCAAGACACACCACTTTATAATAATTACAATTCAGCTCCCACATCTCAACTATTTCTTTAGAGTATTCGGAGATTGGCAGAATTGTGAGTTTCTAGAACTCTATTTTAAAACTTAGCTTTTATTTTGCAATCAATTATTACAAAACAATATCTTATTATGGGCATCCATGGGGAAGGAAGGAGGAGCAAACAAAAAACATACACACATAACATTATCCCACAAATGTCACAACTTATGCACTTGAGTCATATGTCAAGACTCAAGTATCTAATTAAAGTATTTACATGATCAGATCACTGTGTATATATCATTGTTTTGGATTCACTGTGGTTTGCTGACGTTGCTGCTAATTCTTATACATTATACGTTACAGTCCTTATACATTATAAGGTTGTAAAAATATGCATCTGTTCAATAAGGAAAATAAATACTAGACACAAATTAATAGTACATTGAGAGTCTTTCTTTACTATTTACAATAAATTCACCCACATCATATTCCAAATGGAAATTGAAAATTCCCTAAGCTCCAAAGATGATTGGCCATGGTGCATGCTAGATAATGTTGCATAAAGCATAAGTGTAATAACCTTGAGCGAAAAAAGAGGTTTGCCTTTACTAGTTTTTCAATTTAGGTTTGCAAGGCAAACCTTATTTTAGTTAACCACTATGAACTCTGATGATCTTGTTTGTACAGAATTGATTTCTCAAGGATATACCTGCCAAGGTTGTTGTCAGTGGTGATAGATTAAAAGTATATCATATAGAAAGAAAGTTCTTCCTTACTAAAAACTGTAGCCTTTGCCTCTCTGTCTCTGGAGTAAACTCCCTGGACATTGGAATGATTTCCCCATTACGGATGACAATGGCCCTGCAATGAAACATGCAATGATGACATTAGAGAGAAAGCGAAGAGAGAGATGGCAAAGGAAGTGCAAGCAGCAGATACAAAAGAGGGCAAAGAGAGGCAGGGTTAGGTAAGTACCATCATTGCCATACAGAGAGAGAGCCTCTGGGAAGGATATGGCATCTGGGCAAATAATGGCCAGGGATCTATGTTTCCAGATACTCTTAAGGTTTCCTTGCCTGTTTCTTGTTGATGGAAGAGGATAATGTTATATTACGCCTGAAAGCCCAGAAACCTTCTGATGAGAGTTTCCTTCTTTCCCTTTTTCTGGATGAAATTGTTTGCTGTGGCTTCATTCTATTTTATTTCTAGAGTTTAAAGTTTCCCTACCATATTCTAAAGACCCAAAATAGATTAAAATATTTATTATTGTATGCCCCAAATGACTCTATTGTATAAGCAAGTTGAAGTGATTTGCTGATGTCCTGTCAATGAGACTCATGAATAAGAGGAGATATAAACATATCATTCCAGTAGTCGTGCACTTATGCAGGGAAAACGGGAACTGGGTGAACGGGACCCTCAGACATAGTTACTAAAGACTATTTTCCCCATGTAGCATGAAGACATATCTAATAATATAAGCTCTGGCTCATATTGGTATAATATGCTAGCTTAGAAACTATAAAGGTCAAGGAAATGCTAGGTAGCCTTTTTCTTTAACATTCCTATTGGGTTAACGCCAAATCCTAGGTGTGACTCAAGAACATCCAGAGAAAACACTGACATAGCATATTGAAAAGGAGCAGCCATAAAGACATATTTAGATGTCCTTATATTCTACAGTAACAGTTAAGCCAAATTACTAAGCAGTGTTAGTTACCTGCTCTGAGAGAAAAGATGTTCCTTGTTCAGACAGATAAGGAAGCAAAGAAGGAGAAAAATCAGTCTAAGAAACTAGGGTTCAGAAATGGTGCTGAAAGGATGGAGGAGGATTGTGAGAAGAAAAATATGGCTAGAATAATGGGTCACATCATCCAAACCCAAGTGCATGGATATTCTGATCAAAATATAATGTAAAATGTGGATTATCCATACACACATGCACACACGCACACAGGGATTTTATTTTCATCTTTTGGTAATGTTACATATGGAATCTAGCACCTAAAATGATTGCCAAGCCCTGTGCTTGGCTAATTATCTCTCAGATGTAATGACTAAGCAAAAACAATTAAACACAATTATGGCTTTACACAATATCTGTTACAGCATTTTACTGTGCTTCTTGGGTTGGAAGTCTTCATCTTAAACTACCAATATTTCCATATTTGATAATGATATTTAAGAGCCTGATTTTATTCAAAAATTAAAACAAATTCTAATTGATTTTTCTGACTTGATAAAAAAGTTGATCTCACTCTTGAAAAAATAACTTGTCAAAAGTATGTGTGTACTGTTTCCTATTAGTACAAGCTCTCATTTCAATGACCACAATGAGAAATAACAATAGTGTATTTTTCTCTGTCTTGTTATCCACTTGTGTAGCCTTCACCAAATGATACTTTACTTGTAACTCCCATCATCCCCAGATAGTAATGTACACAATACACCTAAAGGTTATCATTTTGGCACAGAGAAGAAGGTATTGTTATTTTCAATTCGGAATCCCAAAGAATTTGGATGCAGATAGAAGACTCAATGAGGAAACAGAGCATCTATTAATTAATTCCAAAAGTAATCCAGAATCCTTAATCTAATTAGCATCAATGCTTCATTTTGATTAATACTCCAGTAAAATTTATTTTACTGACTTAAGTTCTGAACATTTTAAATCAATAAAGGTTCTTTAACAAGCACTTAAATTATTATTTGATGAGTACCTAAATATGGTGATACTCTAGATTTAGGACTGAATCACTAAAAACAATTAAAACAACGGGCACTGAATCAATGCAGTATCTACAATAAAGACTAAAATAACTTTAATGGTTATTCTTTAATTATCCATAATTTTGAAGGTGTCTCAACAATAGAAGGAGAAATGACATGACTCTTCTAGCTCAGGTTATAACAAAGAAACTCCATAATTTGGAACTCCAAATGAATAATCGCAATTCAAAACTGAATTTCCCTCTTGTAGCATTCAGGATATGTTGCAAGAGCATATTTATATTCATCAATTTTTAATTTTTCCATCTTAACATTCAGATCACAAAAAAATATTCTCTGATTTGCTTGGGATCCATAATTATCTCATACCCAAATCTTAAGCGAGCTCCATCATTGGTACCACTACACTATCCTTTTGAGCACAAGTCAATTGACTCTTTGGTTGACAAAAAGTATAGTCCTTAATTCTGAGGAGTTCTGTCCAACTTTTATTACTATTGACAGTGACTGCCTTTATTCAGCACAAGTTTTATTAATTTATTATATCCATAGCCCATTTTTTGCTATAATATTCAAGACAACTATTGGACCCTTAATGGTTTCCTATCCACAATTGATCAGACTTAGCATTATAGTGTCAGATCATTTCCTGAAAGCAAAATTTGATCTCCTGATCATACACAGCATCACTAGAAACACAGCATCATATATCTGTTTATAGCTTATTGGATTAGTCCCTGCGGTTTTCTTGACAAAATTTTTGGAAGTGTCTTATTATTGTCTCCTTCCTAAGGCTGAGAGAAAGTGACTGGCCCAAAGTCACCCAGCTGGCTTCATGTCTGAAGCAGGATGAGAACTCAGTCTCTCAGTTTCTAGCCTGATGCCATAACTATTACACCAAACTGGCTCTCATTAGTTATATACTTATCATTAATACACACTCTCTTAAGGACTGGTGTGTGTGTGATATTAATGGTGCATGAACAGAAGAAAGACAAATATTTAAACTGTTGTTGAAATTTTGTATACATTATAGGTAAAATAACTGACCTTGACCAGAAGGACTCTTGATTAAATTCTACCAGGCAGTAAAGAAATGTCATTTTTGCAATGAATACATGTTTTGGACAGTTCTAATTTGTCAAGGAGCCAAAACATTCTCCAGCCCACTTACCTACTATCACCAGCGTTGGCCACATAAAACTTCCCCAGAAGATAAACCACAGCCAGGGCACAGCAGCCTCCAGTTGCTTGTCTGGTTACCCGTTCTTGCTCAATTTGATTGTCCTGAAAAGACAGAAAAGCAAAAGTACAGGTGGAACACGATCTATCATATCAGAAAAGAAGGCAGAACCGTACTATATGTAATCACAGATCTTCCCCACCTTCCTATATTAATAAACTAGAATGTTCTCAGGAAATAGATATATAAACAACAGTTGCAGAAACAAGGTAGTCAATTAGACATTACCTTCAAATTTAACAATTACAACTTTATGCATTGACAAATTCTTGTTTCATATATCAAAAGTCTATTTTAAATAGAGAAATGACATTGTATTCGCATTATGCTGTACTAGGATTTGATTTATCTTGAATCATTTACACCAAGCTTATGTTTTGTTAGAGCAGAGGCCCTTAATCACAATCAGTAGAAAAGTTTCAACTATGGCTTTATCTAATTTACAAAACTGTACAAATAATTAGTATAGTGGGCAATTAAGCAGTCATTAATTCTCCAGGAAAATAAGATGATATGCAAAAACAGTTATAAATAGGAACTATTCCTGCAGCAACATTTCCAACATTCCTTTTTTTTCCCATCCACACAAATGCACAATGACTTTTTTTTAAAGAAGAGTATACCTCATATTCTGGGTGGCTATGTTTTGCCATCATCTGTATTTTTCATACCTTTAGAATGGTGGTTAATCTGTGACTATCCCTGTTTGCCAAAGGTCTAAGTAATTGCTAACTTAATCTTTTGTCTATTAGGACTTATCAGTTATCCTGGTCTGAAATATGTGAAAGGGAGAGAATACTAATCAAAAGAAAGCTAATTAGCAAGCACAGTTCAAATATCTGAGGAAACAAACAAAAAAGAAAAAAACCCTCTCTTAGTAAATATCTCTATATAATTTTATGAAGAGGTGGGGAATCACCAATAACATTTCAGTACCTATACTAAATTATAGTTTACAAGATTCTCTAGGGAAGCCATGACAACTGAACTGATATATGAATGCTATATGTTGACAATGTGTCTTTTTCTGTGTATTTTATTCCCCTGAGCAGCATCGAAGACAAGATCTCAAGCTGTGCTACAGAAAAACAGAACAGGCTCTGCTCAGGATCTGCAGATAGATAAGCAAATATCTAGTTAGCCAAAAATAGTCATGGGTCACCATGTCAGTGCCTTAACTGCAAAAGGAAGTGAATGCATATTTTGGGTGGAAGACAGGCAAGCAGGATTGGAACACATCCCTGATCTCCAACTTACATGTCCTTCAGTGGCTAAGGGGCTGTGTGTGTTAATATAAAACTGTTAGTAATTGAGTTTATTTGATTCTGAATATCCTTCACCTATTTAAATCTATGAGACAGGCTACATCTTATATACCCAAGGCCCTTTGCCTGCTTGAAAGGTGAAGCAGATTTTGTTTGTTTATCCTGGCTCTCCTATCTTTGAATGCAACATATCCATTTCATTCCACTTCTGATACAGAATCAGGCATCAATTACAAGGAAGTTCTACCTCAGACTAAGATAACCACATGTCTAGTAGGCAGCTTACATGTATTCCAAAGTCTGTGCCAAGCCAGGAAATTGATTGTAATTCTCTATCTTGGGAGCAGCCTGCCTTCTCCAGCCCATCTTTGTTCTACATGCTTACCATCTGTTTGAATGCATTTTCAATGGCTCCCACTACTAAACTTTCATGGAAAACCATCTTTTCCATATGGAAGCGTGGCAAGGCATTGTTTGGGACCTCTCTGTCTTCTTCTGCCAGACGAGCTTTGTTTGGTTCGGTGAGAACTGTCCTGGGTCTCTCTTGTAGGCAAATTGGTGGAGGAGAAGAATCTTGTAAGATATCCACCAAGTCTCGGAGCTGATCACGAATATGGAAATGAAGCAGTTTGGATGCCATAATTGCAGCTCCACTTCCAGCATGTCCATCAAACAAACTCCAGTAGTAAAAATACAGACCTTTGCTGCCCTGCAGAGAGATTGGAAAGAACTATTCTGAAGTAATGCCAAAAGAAAGGAAATTCAAGTTTAAAAAAGTAAAACTGATGAAGCAGCACTTTGGTGAAATTCTGCAAGCTTTGCAGTTTGTGACTGAAGCAACATTCAGCACCTTCTCAGCCAGCTATCAATTTAACCAAACTGCCACCAGTTCAAGGAGGTCCTAATTCCTGGAGTTTATTTTACTGCAAAGGAAGAAGAAAGGGCAGAAAAGGTGATGAAGTAGCAAGGTGATGAAATTTTTGCCTCTAAGCAATGCAATAGGTATCCTATTCATCCAGTGCTCACATAGTTCACAGGCATTATTTTAAATGCCAGCTGCAATAATTCCTGTGACTATAGTGGATGGGAAAGTTTGTGGAACTTTCCCACTGGTTCACAATTCCACTTCATCAAGTAAACAATGTTTGCCAATTCAGGTAAGATCTGTGAAGTAACAACTATTTTGTGTGACCATTACTATTAATCAGCAACTGCGAATCAAACAGTCCTACTCTAAGCTAGAATAAGTTCACATAATGTAGTAAACTATGATTTAGCCATGGTTGAAACTATTACCTGGATTAAATCATTATGAACCCATAAACAATGGCTTGTTTAACCACGATTTACTGAATAATCCATAATAAACTACATTCTAACTGCAAAGCCAAAAACTGTGAGTTATAAGTCACAACAATTGGATTCATGCAACACAGTAAACCAAAAGCAAATAAACTACATTAAAGCTGTGGAAGAAGCTCTGGTCATCCAGTTGCTCACCACTCACTTCTGATTCTCCAGAAATTCCCTTGGGGCCTGGGTTATTTCTCAGGCTGTTTCTTTTTTCCACAAAGACGGCTTCACAACAAGCTTGATCCTCATTATGCTGGCTTTTACCAGCATTTATCACTCTGTTCAGGAAAGAGAGAAACAAACCATCATAGTGTGGACTTAATGATATGAATTTGATTTGATTGACCAACTTCCCTTGTTCTCAGATTCACCTTGCACAAAGATTGACCCCAAATGGGGACAAATGATTCCATTGCTGCTGTTTTTAGTAAACAGAAGCAATTTGAGAGAGGACCTGGCATAGCCATCATGTCTGGGGTTTTTTTTAAACCTAAAAACGGGCCCTGTGGAGTTAGGTGGGTTAATTTTACCTCTAGTCAATGAATGGCTCCTGATGTCTGATTGACCAGCATAGGACCTCTACACCATGAAAAGTGACACCTCTAAACTTATTTCATCAAGCTTATTAATCTCATACTGCCTTCTTTGCTATCCAAACAAAACTCGTGGTTTCAAGCTTTGCTCAAGCCCTTGGGGGCAACCATTGTTTCTGATGAAAAAACCTGATAGAGGACCTCAAAGCCAGCAAATCATGGCTGGCATAAAACTGCCAAACAAAATGAACTTAAACTTTTTATCTTTGTTTTTTTTCAGCTTTGCTACTTCACATCATTGCAAAACATAGCTTGGCAGCAGGAAGTTGTAGAAAAATAAAACAGGAAACATTATCCGGGCAGGAATTTGTAACAGTACAGTTTGCAAAACACAAATAGTATATGATGTTGAGGATGCAAGTTAGTATAGAACTCAGGAGAGTTTCAAAATAACCTTGACAGGCACTTCCCCTCCCCTCTCCACCCCCATGGGATGACAGGAAAACCTTCAATATGTTTCCAACAAATTTTTAAAAAGCATTAAGAAACTAAGAACTATTATAAGTTACAGTCCGTTGCAGGGGCATCAGCTACAATTGTGCAAAGCCTCATTCCTTTTATGCCTGTTATGCATATTAAAAGGAGGCGAAACTTTGCATGTAAAAGTCATTACCTCCCCCCATCCCTACTCTACATATACATTTAGACAAATTCATATCTGCACAAACATATTTCTTTTCACGTGTTTCAAACCAATTAAATGTGTATAAAGAGCATTTAGGCCAGCTTAGCTTCAGCAGACATGCTACATCATGTGCTTTCTAACATCTGATTTCAGTGTTTGATTGGAGCTCATCTTTTTATGTCAAATATGCAACTACAAGGTGTCCATTTTTCAGCCAGTTACTACAACTATATCAAAACTCCATGACAGTTTTGATCTGCAGTAATTAAAAGGCAAAAATAGCCCTCTTCAGGTAGTCTTTCTCTCTTTCACATGCATATATGAAAAGTAAACAGCATGGGAGAGAATTTTATATTGTATAAGAATAATCACAATATTGAATCCATGTTCGGTTTATTACTAGTTTTTCCTGTTTTGTTGCAGCAGAAAATTTATACCTTTTCTGATCTAAAGTTCTGCATGTGTATATTTATATTAAGAAAGAAAAAGAAGGAAGGAAGAAAAGAGAGAGAGAGCGCGCGCGAGAGAGAGAGAGAGAGAGAGAAAGAAAGAGAAAGAAAGAAAGAAAGAAAGAAAGAAAGAAAGATTTCAGTAGTGGAAAAACAATTGCAAAGTTGCTTGGGACAAGGTGGGATCAACAGAAACTGTGTATTACGACTTTTTGCACTGCAAATATGTGGAGACTTATTATCCTAAGTTTGTCCACAGTCCAACTTTCTTGTCTTTCTTTTCTTTTAAAAGCTATTATTTTGTCTTTAAGTAGCCATATTTAAATTGTCTAATCCTGCAAGTTTACAATAGCTATTTTTGCTATTTAGTGCTGATGGTCAAACCTAAATACATTCAGTTGGAAGCAGAGTTTAGTCTAATTCCAAATTGTAATACCAGGACGATTGCAATATAGAAGTGTACCAGGTCAAGTGTTTTGGATTGCCTTGTTTAATACACAAAACTAGTTGAAATGCAAATATGGATATTTATTGATTATAAAAAGGCATTTGATCAAGGGAAGCATGGGAATTATTAGGTATATTGAAAACAATAAGACTGGATAACTGAGCTGTATGCATTATGATGAATTTATATTGGAAGCAAACTGTATATGTTAAGTAGAAGGAAAAGCAAAATAATTTCAACTATTGTGTGGAATTCAACGAGAGTGTTCATTGTCACCCTTGCACTTTAATGTGCATTCAGAAGCTATAGCCAATGAATATTTATAAGAACAGTAAGAAAGTGTAAACTTTAATATCCCAATTATGTTTTATTCAGATTATTTTTCCATCTAGTAAATAGAGAACAATGTTTACAAAGTTTAGTCAAGTGTATCAGTCAAGTAAATCTTGCAGGCTAAATATAAAACAGAACAAAACAAAACAAAATGTTATCAGTAAAAAGAAGGTCCCTCAACAAGCTATAATACAAACAGGACAACTTGAGGGGGTGAGATATTATAAATACTCAAATACTCAGTATTCTGACTGACAGATGGGATCGTAGCATGGAAATAAAGAGCAAGACTGAACAGGTGAGAGTAGCTTGTTGAAAAATAAGTAACTAGCTTGCTGCTGGAATTTAAGATTGGAACTTTGTTGGCAGATTGTATTCTCTAATGTCTTGCCAGGTCTTTTGTAGGAGCCAAATCACAAACAGGGTAGGAGAAGCCTTTGAAATGTGGATTTATAGATTATAGAATTAGTGTGTAACCTAATGAGGCAGGCTGTCTCCAAAGCATAGGCAAAGACAGGGAAAGTGTGAATACCAACAAGAAAAGAAAATGTTCTACTGAGATCGGATGATACATAATGAGAAATATCAGTTCAATGAATTACGCAAGGAAAGCTGCAAAGGAAATGTAGTATTATATGATGAGCCATATCCTGGTTGAAATATCTCTGCATATGGGTTGGCCCAAGTAAATATATCCTTGTTTCAGATGGTAAAACTGAAGCTACAAATAGCATTGATAGTCTGCAGTAGGAAGTGGCACTATAGGAAGAACTAGAAGTACTTTTTAACTCAGTGACTGGATTGGAAATCAAAGTCTTATAGAGTTGGAAGTGACCATTTAGGTCAATGGTTATCAATCTCAACAACTTTAAGATACCTTAAAGTTGCTGAAATTGCGATACACTGATTTAGGTAATCCAGTCCAACTACCTCTTCTCTAGAGGAATCCAGACACATCCAAAGAAAGACCTTCATCTCTCTAGGCACATGTTTCCACAGTCCAACTATTCCTAGTGATAGAAAGCTTTTTCTAAGATTCAATCAGAATTTGCCTTTGCACTTTAAACCCATTACAGTATTCCACAGTATGGAAACTGGTCCTGAACATCTTCTATGTAGCATTCTTTGCCAAAATTCAAACAAAGCATACTATGCCTTATTGCATGAATCTGGCTGATGGCAGTTTTTTCTGTATAAATTATTTCATTAAACTGTGTAGAAAAATTTTCTGCAATTTTAACAATAACACCAATTTATGTTAATAAATTCTTCAAGAGGAAAGAGACATCAGTTTGTTGTTATTCATTATTCAGTTAAAAACAAGGAATGATACAACCTGCTCACCACAAAAAAGAAAAAAAGCTTGCAGGAGTAGCAAAAGAAACAGATAAGAGGATATTCTCCTACCTAGGTCAAGGAAATTATATTTAGAACTGATATTATTATCTCCGGACTGGGTCCTAGTAACCTTAAAACTAAGACAGCCTATCCTGCTAAACAAAAGCAAGCTGAAGTCAGGGCACACAGCATGAAGCCATAAGAAAAGTGAGATATTAAATCAACTGGAAAGTAAAATACTAAGTACCATTTACAAGTAAAATAAATGGAGAAAGAGGCAAAAAGAGAAAAACATCTGTTTATGGCCATTTCAATATTTCTAAAAGAACACAACATGAATTTAGCAGTCTTGATTAAAATGCACATGTTCACCATTTTTCTGGCAAGACTTTTGCCTCTTTACCAGCCAGATAACAGCTTTTCAAATTTCCCTGCCAAGAAAAGAAGCATTTGTTGAACATCTACCCACAAATTAGTTGATAAAAAATAGGGATCTTTCTCACAATAAAACATTTCATTTTCAGACACCCACACGAGGCACGCAATTGCCTTGGGTGTCTATTTTAAAAAAAAGTAATTTGCTATTTTTGGATCCTCTGCACGTTTGTAGTTCAGCTCCCAATTGCAAGCCCTGAGAACCACCAGAACAGAAGGAAGGCCACATTAAAGATTAGGGGTGTCTGAAGGCATAGACAAAAAAGTTAAGATGGTAGGTGCAACTGGAAGATAGAAAGTCCATCTATTTTTGCATGTCGTGACTGCCAATGTGACTTTTTTTTTTACCATCTCCACAGACAACTATGATAGAGGTGAATGAAGACAAATGCCTTCTTTTTTTTTTTTTTTTTTAAAAATCAACAATAGCCATAGGGGATGCATAAAATTTGTTCACATACATTAACATAGGAAGGGCAGAGATTGGGGAGTGTTGCAAGAAAATACTTTTTTTTGTCTTAACATATTTCATGAGAATTCTGAAATAAAAATTTATGTAAAAGAAAACCTTAGCTATATAAACATAACACATTAAGCCTCTGTTCTGCATAATCATGCAACTAAATCCAATTAGCCAGGTTTATTTATAAAAGTAAATTTATTATTTATATCTCACCAGAATCAATTTGAATCAGAAAATTCAGCTGTGTTGGTCTCACCCATCTACTCGAGTAATCTAACTTCACATTTTGGCTGTCTCAGTGCTTTATAAGAAATGCTTAAAAGTCGGACTTTTGGTAAACAATTAAGTCTAAGGGTTGTTGTTTTTTTAAGAAAAACACCCAATAGCTGAAGCTTTCTGGGTGGTTTACAATATTAATTTTCTATTTATACTTGAAAGATAACTCTTAAAAACTGCAGGAATATCTTAAAGTTGTAAAGGTCATTAACACCATAAGGGTCATTATCTGATAAATTCTAGTTGGCTGCAAAAAGTTAGCCTGGATTTTTTGTAGTCTAGATTTCACAAGCCAGCTTTTTTCCTAGAATGTGGATTAAGGCTCAATAGCTGTGTTGGAATACTTTCAAGCACAACTACGTTTTTTCAGTATATTGTACAATCCTTCCTTTATAGTTACACACACACACACACACACAGAGCCGATGAATCTGAAAATTGGGCAACACTCGGCTAACTTAACATGTATATATTATACAACAGAGACAGCATGCAGATGTAATTGCCGCTTCTTCTTTAATGAGCAGTGGAAAGAAACCAACGATTTGGTCTCTCCATCTTTCTTTCCCATATAAATTCCCTCGCATTATCTTCAGGCTGCTTAAGGTGAGGGAAGGACTGAGGAGATTCAATTGGTTATCCTAGGAGTTCATCCACCTAACGGCGCGGTTTAACACCCGCCCTTGCCCTTGGAGACTAACGATTTACTAGCCGTTTAAAAGAGAAATCTCGTAGGAGCGGTCCCCATGAATGAATCGGGCCCCAGCTGGCCAAAGCAGCGGCTGGAAACCGAGCGCGTCACCACACAACTACTTTGCTTTTCCCAGCCCTATTTAAAGAGGGAAGCGAAATCTTCCATCTTTAAAGAGGGGGGGCTACAGGCTTAACTCTCCCTCGATGTCGGTGGTAAAATTAAAACCTCCGTCGAGTCCCCTAAAGGATTCGGCCATTCAGTCCGGGCATGACGAAGGGCAAACAAATATCTTCATATCAACAGCACTACGACTGTCGCATAAAAGCGGGCAAACCGGAGCAGGTCGATTTAACTAATCGATCATCTCTCGTACCCACCCCGAATTTCCTTAGCTCTAATTCGGACAACATAAGGACGGGCTCGCTGCTAAAGTGAGTACACTCTGTGCATGCTCGGAGGCGCCGTTTTGTCACATGCCTTCAAGATAGTCCTTGCAGATTCACTCGGCCCAAGCCCTCCAGCCCTGCCTCCACTCTGGAAAGTAAGTGTCCTTCCTCCCCACCCAAAAGCGCCAACAGAGCTCCCTCCCTCCGCCGCCACTGGCCGCTTTTTCTCGCCTACTCGGCGTAGCCGGTGCTCCAGGGCAGGCGACGGCGACTCTCGCGGGAGCTCTGGATGGCTCTGCTCGTGTGGTCATCGGCCAGCAGAAGTTCTTCTGGCGTGAGCTGCAGAAAAGCCGGTCTCGAGAAGCTGCCGCCGGGCGCCTCACAGCAGGAGCTGCTCGTGGTGGTAACTGAGGTGGTGGGGGCGGCAGCGGGGGCGGCAACGCTGGGCCCGATAGCCTCGGACCGAACAGGCGGGGACGCCGCGGTTGAGGCGCCGGCGGCGGGCGAGGCGTACTGCGTACTGCGGGGGCTTCCTCCGCCTCCGAGACCCCCGACTAGTTGCGCCATCGCTGAGCGAACTCTGCCCAACATGCTGCCGCTGTTGCTGCTGCAGCCGCCGCCGCCGCCGCCGGGCGCTGCGAGCTCGGGGCGGCCAAAGAGGAAGGCACGCTGGCGGGCTCTGCTCCCGCCTTCTCCTCTTCCTCCTCTCCTCCTCCTCCTGGGCTCGAGCTGAACTCAGACACGTCAGGGAATCTCCGAGAGCCTCCTCCCAACCGCGTCCTCGTTGACGCACCGCGAGTTTTAGGCGGCTTCGGAACCTCCTCCTGGCCGCCTCGGAGCTTTCTCTTCCCACCGAAGCGCTTTAGGAACCGCGGAGACGCTCCTTTCCTTGGGGAGCCGCTGGCTGTGCCTCGGGGGGACCTTGCCTGCCGTTGCAGAGAAGTGTCTTTTAAGGCTCCCCGTAGGCCTTGTGGTCAGGTTGTCTTTCAATATGCCGGGTTCCCGGGGAGTTAATGAACAAGCCCCTGCTGTGCTTGGCAACCGCAGCAATGATTTACTTGTTTTGTTGTTTTACTTCCCAGTGACAACTCTGATTTCTTGATGGTCTCCCATCCTACCGATAGTAGCAGCCAGTCTGATCTTGCTTAATTATTTGATGCCAACCAAATTCAGCTAATATGTCAGTGATGGTGAACCTTTTAGAGATAGAGTGCCCAAACTGCAACCCAAAACCCACTTATTTATCGCAAAGTGCCAGGGCTGCATCAGCATTGTGGTGCCCTCAGAGGGTGTGTGGGGGCCTGGCCCACTGGGTAGCGTGGCTACAGTGGTCATGGCAGACTTGGTGGGTGTGGCTGGGGCCAGGGCAGCGAGGACCAGTCCCTCGCCATCTCCGGGGCATCCCCGTGGGGCCAACGCCGCTTGCTCGCTTGCTTCCTGCCCTGTCACTTCCAAACGCCACATGCTCACTATTCTGGCGGACTCTGCTGGGACAACAGCATGCGTGCCCACAGAGAGGGACAACAGCATGCGTGCCATAGGTTTGCCACCACTGTACTATGTACTGGATGACTTTGTGATCCTCCCCCCACTAAATATACTGGGTTTAAGGTACTTACAGCTCTAAGCCAGTGCCTCAACCTCAACCACTTTAAACTGGCTGGGGATTTCTGAGAGTTAAAGTCCACACAGCTTAAAGTGTCTGAGGATGAATGGTATGCAATGGAATGCAATGCAGTGCAATTCAATACAGTTGGAAGGGACCTTGGAGGTCTTCTAGTCCAGCCCCCTGCCCTGCTCAAGCAGGAGAACCATACCATCTCAGAAAAGTGACTGTCTAGCCCAGTGGTTCTCAACCTTTATAATGCCGCGACCCCATAATACAGTTCCCCATGTTGTGGTGACTCCCAACCACTTATACATCACCGGGTGCCAGGGGCGTGGCCAAAGAAAAGGGGAAAAAATGGCGGACAGCCTTGTTTGGCGACCCCTGTGAAATGATCGTTCGACCCCAAATGGGGTCCCGACCCACAGGTTGAGAACCACTGGTCTAGCCTCTTCTTAAAAATCTCCAGTGATGGAGTGCCCATGATTTCTGGAGGCAAGCTGTTCCACTGTCAGGAAGTTTCTCCTTAATTCTCCTTAATTCTAGGTTGCTTCTCTCTTTGTTCAGTTTCCAACCACTTTTTCTTGTCCTGCCCTCTGGTGCTTTGGAGAATAATGTGACCCCCCTCTTCTTTGTGGAAACTTTGCTCTTCGGAAGCACCTGCACCTTAGGATTTTCACCATACTGTATCTACAGCTCTGGCTTTGTAACATATCTTGTTCACCTTAGAAAGGTATGCAGCTTTAGAAATAAACTGTCACTCCTAATCTATTGTTTTCTGAATATATTTCTGTTATCTTAATGCTGTTACTGTTCCAGAAAAAAAAATCTGGTAAGAAAAAAACCACTACTACCATCACCTGATCAACCACTACTTTTTAAATCTGTTCTTCATATACAAATCTTAAGTTAGCAAGCAGGTTAGGACCATTCAAGAGAATATTTAATGAAGTTATATGGCTTATTGATAGATTTATCCCCCAAACAGGTGGCATTCTAGATTTCAGAAAATTGGGACAAGACCCAGATTACTGTGTGCTCTTTTCAGAGACCTATGTGTGTCCTGTGGTGAAAGAAAGAGTAGATAAACAATTTGCCTAAAGAGCTGCATGATCCTGGGAAGATGTATGAGTGTTAAGAATGCAGGCCAGACCCAGCTGTTCAGTTTGGCATGTCCTGTGGACGTTCTCATGTATTGTGTTTAGATCTCAAGCCAGATCCTCAAACAAATGGCTCCATTTCCCCAAATGCTTCCATTCAGTATTTCATAGCCAGAGCTTCCTTTAACATCTCAACTTTCCTGATAGATCTTCAGTTCAGAGGCATTTTTGCCAATAAAAAAGATGCCTGATGTTATTTATTTCGCAGTCTGCCATATCGATGATTTTTATATTCAAACAAAATCAATGTGGATAGGAAGCTTGGCAACCAACCAAGTGCTCTTAACAACCATATTGCCTGCTCCAGACCTAAATACATTACTCCACTAAAGTCTTATGTTTGGTTTGTATAGGTAGTTCTCGACTTACAATCACAATTGATCTCAAAATTTCTGTTGCTAAGCAAGACAATTGTTAAGTGAGTTTTGCCCCATTTTACAATCTTTCTTGCCACAGTTGTTAAGTGAATCACTGCAGTTGTTAAGTTAGTAACATGGTTGTAAAGCGAATCTGGCTTCCCCATTGACTTGGCTTGTCAGAAGGTCACAAAAGATGATCACATAAGCCCTGGTGGCTCAGTGGTTAGAATGCAGACTGCCAGCAGTTTGGCAGTTCGAGTCTCACCAGCTCAAGGTTGACTCAGTCCTCCATTCTTCTGAGGACCCAGATTGTTGGGGGCCATATGCTGACTCTGTAACTGCTTAGAGAGGGCTGTAAAGCACTGTGAAGCAATTTATAAGTCTAATTGCCCCCAACTGAACCATTCCTAACAGTATCAGTCCCCTTCTTGGCCCTACAATATTTCCCACATCTTATCCCCAATCCAGGAGTGAGAGATGTTTAAACATCTGTACCTATGTAGATGGATTATTTCTCTTCTTATCCCAATATGACCCAACAGTAGTTTCACAGTGTGTATAATCTGCTGTGCTTTGCTTTGTGTGACCCAAGGTGTATAATGGGCGTGCTGGGAGGTGTAGGCATTTTCCTTATTCTCTGGTCACAAGCCAGACTTAACTGCAGCCTTGTTTCTGCCAACATCTGCTCTTTCAGCACAATAGAAGAAGGGAGAGCAGATCTCCCCAATTTCACCTGGGAAAGCAGTAGGAACGTATTTGGGCTAATCTACTTTATCTGAAGTGTGTCTCTATCTTGAGATGCAGAAGCCTTACTTTTCCTTCTTGTATTATTGGGAAAACAGCGAGGGTGTTGAAATAGGCTTAGTTTCTGTGTCTTAGTTTCAATCATTTCTTTTCTCTCCTAGATCAAGTATCTATTCAGTTTCACTTCAGGGCCTAGCTACTGTAATTGCATAATCATGGGATCATCTGTCTCTTCTCTGTCTGGGGCCATTTTTTTGTCTTGGTATCTTTCCATATGCTTTTTTTGTTTCAAATGGCAGAAAAAAATTGATTCAAATGTTAAATTGTCAAATTCAAATGTTGGTTAAATTTAAATTTATATAATTTCCATATTTTATATAATTTATGCAGTGACATAATTTACTTCAGTTTGCATCAATTGCATAAAGTAAATTGCTATTTGTATCAACTGTACTTACTTCATCATGGAAAGGACACAAATTCATGCGAATAACATCAGTTATCCAGACAGACTTTGGAAACAACGGATTTGACATTTTGCAGTTGAGGAGTATAAAGTTGTTACATTGCTTCTGAAATCCATTAAATCCTCAACATTACAAACAGTCACTAAGTGGATGTTTGCTAAATTGAGATTTTTCTGGTTTTTAACTTGGATGATGGGGTGGGTGAGAAGGGCAGGAATTCACTTAGGGAAGTCCAGCAAAGTCCTGAAGTTGGGCCCCTCCCATTTTGCCATGAATGTTTTCCCTGCTGGTTGGTATCATGCTGAAAGAAGATGCAGCACAGACAATGCAGAAGGCCCATCATCTTGCATATAATTACTTGCATAGTGACAAATCAAGAGGACCAAGTTCACAGCAGAATCATAAAAAGAGAGGGAAAAGGTCATTAATGGGGAGAAGAAAGTAATTTTTATGCAGTTCTGGTCTTCTGCTAACTCAAGGATGGCTGAGTCACGTTTTATCTTAACAGTGGAATAGACCAGAGGCTGGATAATCATCAGAAACACTTTAGTGCAGTGGTTCTCAACCTTTTTAATGCTGCGACCCCCAACCGGTCGTAAGTCGAGGACTACTCAACCGGTCGTAAGTCAAGGACTACTCAACTGGTGCAGCACCGTTTGCAGAATGGGACTTTTGGCGGGCTCAGCAGGGCAGAGACAGCCTGAACAATTCCTATTGGCTTCTGAAAGCCAATAGGATTAGACTCTATTCAAGAGTCTATTCTATTGGCTTTCAAAAGCCAATAGAATAAAAGGGAGTAGCACAGCTAAGGAAAAGGGGAAAAAAATGGCGGACTGTGTTGTTTGGTGACCCCCGTGAAATGATCGTTCGACCCCAAATGGGGTCCCGACCCACAGGTTGAGAACCACTGCTTTAGTGGATCCTGCACTGAACAGAAGGTTGGATTAGATCAGGGCTTTTTTTGTCACAGAACGCCCAGAACGGAGTTCCGGCACCTTTTTTGGATGGAACCCACCTTGTAGGGTAGGCAAGGTGGGTTGTATGACATGTGAGTTCTGGCACCTTTTGTTTTTACAAAAAAAGCACTGGACTAGATGATCTCTAAGATATCTTCCCACTCACTTGATTCACAGAGGACCATTCTCAACTAAGTAAAGAAAAGAGTCCAAGTAAGCTGCCACAGTCAATTGCTGTGGGGGTTTTTTAACCCACCCATAGTTTTGCAACCATGAATTTCTCCCAGATCTGCTGACACCTTTGTCTTCTCTGTGTGTGGTACATTTTAGCTGGCGTAAGCAATAGTAGTATTAGAGCTTGAACATCAGATGGAGGGAATGATTCACAGTCACAGAGATGGGATCTGAAGGAGTAAGGCCATAAGGGTTTCAGAGATGGAGGCAGCTGGGCTTGAGCCAAACAAATTTTTGCTCAGGGGCACAAAGAGGCTCCCAGTTGCAAAAGAAGCACTGATGCCAAGCAAAGGCCACTGCCTGCTTGAGGGACACCCCATGCAGTGGGAACTTCTTGCTGCATGATAGAGCAAAATAGCCTAAGAAGGGGGTAAAAATGAAGCAGTATGCAAATCGATCTTTTTTTTTTAATTGCAGGTTTTATTTATAGAAATAACTCCATGTCAAGGGCATCTGCAGAGTGTGGTTAAAATACTTGAAGTGTTGGCCACAGCAGTGCAAAGGTTTGATTGCATCATTATAGCTACCTTGTTGGATTTTTTCAACCATGCCCTGCAGACACCCCTGGTCCAGGAAAACAGGAGGAGGATGTGCTTCTAATGGAGACTATTAACTTAATGGCTAATAAATAACCTCAATCTTCTTGGGCTGTTTAGGACTTACCTTCTTGTGGTTTCCTGAAGCTTCCTCCACTGCAGCTCACAGAACTG